GTTTAGTATGACCACCTTTAAGCCCAAACTCTCTTTCTTGAAGTAGTCTTCGGGAGTAGTTCTCCAGGCATCTTGAAGGACATCTTTAAATGTTGGCATCCTTTCATTCTGATCTCTGTCAACATGATCCCACACTGCTTCAACAATGTTGCCGTTTTAGTCATGTCTATGTGCCACTGATTGACTGAAATCACAAACCATGACAGAGACAGCACTGTGTTTATGGCTGTAGATACTCACTGGTCTTCCTGTCTTCTCTGTACATATTGACAATGATTTGAACCAAAACTTTCAAATTTGGATTCATCCCTCCATTACACCTGTTCCCATTGATTTTCAGTCCAGATCTTTTGTAATTTGGGATACCTTAACCATTTCTCCCTGTTTACCCTTCTTTTTGACAGCTACCCGTCTACTGAGACCATTTTTTTGGCAAACAGTAGATAGATCAGCTGAAGGACCAAATGTATGTCTCAGACCTTGTGTCAAGTCTTTGTTTCCTATTTCTTAAGTGCATGACTTTCAGACATTGTTCATTTGTTGTAGATAGTTGGGCTGCCACTTCTTCTTTTGTCCGGTTTTCAAAGAACGCACGCTCTTTGGGAATCCCTTTGTTGCAAAACAAAACCCCCCAAACTATTATCTTTGGTATTTTTCATAGATTTAATGGAGGAAACTGGGTTAAAAAAATCATGTTCTTTGTAACAGGCTGCCAATATCAAAATGTTTGAAGATATAATTTAAAATTGGTTGTTTGCTAAGCTATGTGTAGACACAACACTGGTTCATCCCTTGAGGTCGATCGCTTTTTTATGCTTGAGTGATTCATAGGTCAACGTGAAGAGCAAAGTTTTTTTCTAGCAGGAGAAAAAAAAAAGAAGAAAACGTAAAAAATGAGAAAATGAGTAGTCATTTCAACACCAGTGCACTGAAAATGAGAGAAAAAGTTGCCAATGTATAAAGAAAAGCTTTGAAAGACTTTGAAACCCTGGAGAACTAGTGCTCATGATAGTCTGGCCTTGGAAGCAAAATATAAAGAAATGAGCAATGGCTCAGGACTGTTGCATAGTAATGTAGGTATTCAAGCCCATTAGCCCTTTAAGAAAACCAAGCTCTGACTGTACATAGCCAGCCTGTAAGCAAGGTACAGATGTGGTTGTGATTATAGTTATATACCTAAAACAACTACTACATCATTTGTGGTTGTCAAATA